TAGGGCAGTCTACCAGCACTGCAATCAGCTGAGATCCTCTCTTCCATTTTCCAGCTCAGTGCTCAATTCCATATTAAACAAGCACTAGTACAAGTGGAGCTGCAGAAAACGAAGCTAGACAATAAAGCCCTGAAGAGCAGAGGGAAGGCAGCTCCATCTACTTTTGTCTTCCTCCGGGTGGAGGGGGCAAACAGAAGTTCAATAGCTCAAACTCTGTCCTGCTGCAATCTTGAAGTAAGCTGCAGCTGGAGCAGCCCATTGCTGTCATAAAATAAAGTAGGGCAGGATGCTCTCCCCAGATGAGGGAGCAGTGTCCAGCAGTGCTCAGACAAGCTGCGTTAGCTGCCTCCAGCAGCGACATGCAATACATGGGAGTTTGCATCAAATCTACCTCTGCTTCCACCTCCCTCTTGTCCCCATAGCACAATTAAGCTCCCCAGGCAATCCCCACTCAAAACTGTCTGCAATTCAGTCCCCAACAGCCCCTAATTCACACAACTCTGCTCCGAGCTGCTGACCTCCCTGCAGCCACAGGAAGCCAATGCAGTCTTTATATGTTGTCCTTCTCAAACAGCATAGCACCTCCTGCATCCTTCCCTGTTAACAACTATGCCTTCTGCTTCATTCCTGGAATAGCTTCTAACTCTTTCCTTCAAGCCAGATTCATTAACCAGCTGCTGCAGAGCTGTTTGCCTCCCCCAGGTACTCTATGCATGTCATTTGTTAATGACTCATCTCAGACTGGGCTCATTGCAAAGATGCCCCCCTCCTTTTGCGGCACCAAGCGTGTCGTTGGCACACCAGGAAAGCCAAACATGCAAACAGCTCAGTTCCCTCCAATACCCCATTCCCTTCTCCGTTCTCTATCACCATCAGCATGGGACAGCTCTTTAGTCAAAGTGCTATTTCCTCCCTTGCTTCTTTGCTGATCAAAGGCAATGTGTAGCGAAGCATAAATAAGATCTTCACCCCCAGCCAGGCTTTGAGAACAGGAAAAACTAAGAACAAACTTGAAAACTTCCAACACGCTAAAGAAGCTTCAGCAAACTAATGTGACTCCTGTCAGTGGCAGGGACTAAACACCAAGCATGCCAAATTCACATCTATTTCCCCAGCAGACTGTGGCTTGCCGAGGAGCTAAAACGATTTCCAAAGGCATTTGTATTCCTCCTGCCTCTTTGCAGGACTGATATTAAAAATGGGAAGGAAAGGAAATAGCTAGTGAGGACCACAGAACCTCTCCTCGGTAGTTAAATCCGGTGAGGAACTGAATGACCAGTACACTGCAGCTGCCCACGCAGGAAGCCAGAAACAGACTCCGTCCATCTCCATCACACAGATCTATTAGACTTGGGTAGACAAAGTCCACCTATACCTCCTGAGAAGCTGTCAGCTAAACACCAGGAGAAGTTAGTGCAGAAACCAGCACTGCCACTGCTTGGGAAACAGTTCCCTTGAGATACAGAGGAAAGCTTCGTGCTCTGGGCTTATTCACTTAACATCCTTCCCCAGGAATTTTTTGGCTAACATTTCTAGGGGGAGACCGAGCTAGCAAAGAATCAGAAACCGAGGGCCTTGACCCAGACGCAACTGGATGGGAGGAATTTAGATCCACCTCTGAAGATTAAAAGCTGGTGTGCCTGCATTGCAGGAGAAGGAGAGGAATTTACTTTCACAAGTGTACAAGTCCTGTGACAGAGGACTGAAAACATGCAGACAGAAAAGAATTCTGGTAGCAATAAGAGGAAGGCACGTGCATTGCACAAGCAAGTGCAGGTGACAGCTGGCTGCAGGACTGGAGCACTGTCACAGTTCTCTGCTTAAACAGCTCCCCTGCCCGCTCACGGAAAGCCCTTCTCTTTACAGCTTGGAGTGAAGTGAAATACAGGGGTCAAACTACAAAGCAGTACTCTGCTAGACCCAGAGGAAGGAATTGACTGGCCTAAGACAGAGCACAACTACAAACATTCCACAATCAGGCAGCAAAGGTATTTAGGCTCAGGACACTGGGCTCAGCTACTAGCTTTGCCACAGATTCTTCTGCACAAATTCGGACAAAGATGAACTACTGACAAAATGGGAAGAACACTCCCCTGCCTCCTGGATGTGCTGGGGAGATTAGTCAGACCTTCTGATAACGTAACATCAAGAATCAAGTAAAAGCTCAAGTGAACAAGTGCTCTTGGACTACAAGCCTAAAGCAGCCTCAAAGCCAAGACTCCAGACTCTGACATTAAATCAGCATTTTTAATTTTTTTTCTAAAATGTGCTTTTTTGTGAACTGCTGTTTCAATGCCAACCCCCCTCCCCCTTAGAAAAAAAACCCCACACCTTGACAAACTAGGTGCAAATCACCTGAAGTTAGTCTGTAACAAATAAAAAACACAAAACAAAGGCTGAAATGCTTTAGAATCACAACAACGTACAAAAAAATGGAGGAAAATACAACCTGAAAGTGTTCAAAATTCAGAAATACTAGTCAAGTCCATTGCTTCAGCAAGGGGATGCTGCTGCGACCCCTGCCAGTGGGTCCTGGGCCACCAGCCTGCCACGATGCTACATGGGCTCTTCTCCCATGCAGACCACTGTCACTAGCATCGAAGGAAGAGCAAATGCATTACCCTTTGAAGGTATCAATGGGGGAAACAACTCACGAGCAGCTCTGGGAGGTCACATCACATTCAGAAGGAACAGTTTCTAGTATGCCCCTAACCACCTGCAAGAAGGAAGGCTCAAAAGAGCAGCCTGCTTCCTCCTTACTGTATTGGTGCCTCAGAGATGCAGAACAGTGCTTTAAATCTGTGAGAGATTAAAGGGCTTAGTAAGGGCAGTAAACAGACAGTTAAGTAAACAGCCCAGCACTGGATCTCATCTTCACAGAGCGAGGTAGTGTGAATTTCACCCCAGTTTAAAATAGACAGGGGTAGTGGAAAGGCTGAAGACTTCCATGTAAAGCAGTTCCTGGCCTAGAAACCTTTCTGCGCTCCCTTTGGGAATCAAAAGATCTGTGTTGATGGCTTCCTCGCCCCCAGCCTGGCTTTGGCAGCCACACTTCAACCCTGGGATTCAGACACTTGCAAAGAAGTTCTCCCAAGATCTGATTTAGTACAGCAGCTTCCTCAAGGTTAAGCAGCAATAAGACTGGCTGGGAGGGAGCAAAACTGTCCACAGATTATTTTTTTTCCTGCCCCTTTTGGTTAGTCCATCTCTTTAGAAGTCCCTCTTTACAGGACCAGAACAGGGACACCCTGGAAATTAATAGGGGCTGCACAGTGTAACTTAGCTAGGTGCTGCTAACTGGGAGCTGTATTCAAACAGGGCTTTTATTTGCCAGCCTGGAAGGGACTGGCCCAGAACCCACTGAAAAAGGAGACGCAGGGCCTTTTTTGCTCCTCCTGTTGTCATTCCTAGCTGAATGACATTTAGATGGTATGTTCTAGTGACGGCTGGAGACCAGCCCTTTGACTTTGGACATCTTCTTTGTGGGCTGCCTTTGTTCTGTGTGTGAAGGGCACTCTCGCTCTACCAGCTGCTGTTCCATCTCCTGTGCCGACGACGAGGCTGTAGCTTTTAATGTTTTCTTTATGTTTGTGACCTGGCCAAGAAGAGACAGTGAATCAGCATCTGCTTCTCCTCCCCTTGAAGTAGAAACTCTGTTCATAAACATACTGAAAAACCCCTGGAGTATAGAGCGGAGATTATGAAATAAATTCTCCCACCAGAAACATGCTCTGCACTTGACTTTATTGAAGTTAATGTTTCATCCTCACTTAGAGCCAGAAGTTGTTAATATTTCCAGGCTGGGTCCAATACAGAATAACTAGAGACGATTTCCCACCTTTCTGACTGGCTGGCTGGATCTACTACTGCCTTGGTGTAGAAGTCAGCCATCCTACCATTCTGTTGGCCAGAAGCACGAAGGACAAAGGAGACCGTGAAAGAAACAAACTTACACTTAGGACAGCACTTGAAAATGGAAAATGCCATTTGGCCTAGCTGGCTGTCTGAGCCACAGACATTTGCTAGAAGCACGAACAGAAATTGGTTTTGTGGGAGGCAGCAGTAGTGTTTCTGCTGAAAAGGAGAGATACAGCACCAGGCACCATACTCTGTCCTCTGGAACCCTGTAGGGCTCACCAGAAATACAATGAGAAAACCTTAAAAAAAACCAAAACAAAACAAAACAAAAAACACAGGCCAAAACAAGTTTAGGAGGAGTCAGGTGTGCCAACCCCAGGCCAAAGGCATCTGGCAAACCAAATCCGCTACAGATGCCAATCAAGCCGCCAAGCATATGCTGCTTCAGAAGGCAAATGTAAACCTGCAGGGATACAGCACTCTGCAAGAAATATACCCTGAGCAAGTGTCTCGGGAGGACCATTTTCACCTTTACAGCTGTATTAGCCAAGATTTGTTCTCACAAGTAAATACACATCAGCAGGGGCTAAAATCGCGTGCTCGTGCTGCCATCTACTGCCTAACTGCAAATGCAGCAGAGGCAGGAGCGCTCCCAAGTCACGCTGCTGAAGAGAGCACGTCAGAGCCCTGTCTGGGTGCTCGACTTGACCTCAAGACAAAGACCACCGAAGGACGCTGCCGAGGGCACGTTTTGCAAAAGCAATGAGACTCGAGGGATTTTTGTTAACTACACTTTCAGGTTTAAAACAAAGTGAACTGCTTTCTCCTTCCTTCCTGCCTTGTACAAAAGGAACAGAATTGCATCCAAGCTCTGTGTCAACAACACACTTTTCCTAACAAATCATTTCAGGACACCATAGCTAGTGCTAACCTAAATTCACCTAACCTAAATTCATAAAAAATTATAGAGAATGTTACAGCCTGCTCAGAGTGGGCAAACTTGATGTTTGTGGGATTACTAACACATGGAAGCAGATGTATTTTCTTCCTATCCCAAACTGGCACATCTGATTCGCATGATTGCTAGCCTACTTCAGAGAAGCCACGACCATTAACCAGGTGTTACCAGATTATTTTCTTCAGTAAACAAACATACATTTATCAAAAAGCATAAAGCAGTCTGAAGTGACTCTGTACTCACCTCCATCTCTACCTGCTGTTGAGTTCGGTGATGGTTCTCTTTGTATTGGTTGGCTCTAAGTACTTGCTGCTCAATTCCTAAAAGAACCGCTTCACAACCATCACACCTGCACAATACAAACAATGTCAAACAGTCATTTTTGAGCGGAGCAGCTCAAGTAGGCAATCTGAAAAGACATGCTCGCCTATAAATTTAGGAGATTATGAAATTTATACTTCCTGCTTAAAGATTAGAGTTCTAAAAAGCTGTCAAGAAAAAGCTTTGCTGTTTACCCAATGTATTTCACAGCATTCTTTAGCTAGTCCATGTTACTCTTACCCGCCCATCAAAAAGTAAGTCCAAGTTCAGTGCACTTTCAACTTCTTTTCAATCAGAATTCCTGCTTAAACGGGGATGTAATGCATTTTTCAAAAGTAAGCAAATTTTTAAAATGAAACAAAAAAGTCAGATTGAGAGAATCCCCCTGCCTGTTAAGTGTTCAAAGGACAAGAGCACTCCTCCAACACAGATCTTGTAACTGGAGAGGGCAGAAAGGGAATTGGCAGTGGGTTCATTGTTACCTTCCAAACAATGCTGTAGGGTCCTGGAAGCTGCCAGAGCTCTCCCACTGAGACGGGATTGAGAGAGTTGGAGTAGAGAAGCAAAAAAACCTGCCCCCACATCAGGACAGCATATTTGCCCAGCAGTTGAATTACTTTTCATGCACCCATTACCATAGCAACTAGGAAGCAATTCCCAGTCAGCTCAGAACCTGCCACAGGCTCCACAGTCTACAGAAGAATTTCTCTGGGTGGGAAGGGAATCCTACAAAAAGATGAGAAGCGGCTTCCTGGCAAAGGTACAAAAAGATAGTCCCCATATGGTTGCATGCAGCCTGCATTTGCAGGAACAAAGAGAAGGCAAACAAAGGCATCGGAAACTTCAGACTTGAAGAGACATCCCCTCCAAAGAGTTGCGATTCTCTAGAATTTGCTCATGCAGTTCTCATCACAGTAAAAAAGGCTGAAGAGTAATGCACAGTTCTGTTTTTGTTATCAAGTGTAACAGCAGAAAGGGGAGTAGCTCCCACCATAAGACCACGAGTCCAGATTGCTGAGTCTGTTTGAAAAGACTTACTCCTCGCTAGGTTTCTGCCATGTAAAAGCTTCGGTGAGAGCAGAATCTCAAGACCTAGTATAGTTTGAGTTGATACATAACACAAATTGAATCCTACATGGGATCTTGGACAACTTGTCCAATAGACTACGCCTCCAAATGCCCGCTTACAGCATAAGACTCCTGATTAATGGAACATGGTGAAATTGCACCAGCACTTGAAACTTTAAAGAATAAGAAAAAGACAGGACAGGCTACGTATAAGGAACAAGGAAGGTAGAGAGACTGCCTCACCATTCCTGCAGTGTTTTGACAATGTTACTGATGTCCTTCTTCTGAATGTCTCTGCCGATACAGAAATCCACCTCTAGCACCTGGTTTCGTTGATCCAACTTCCCCTGGATAATATCTGTATAAACCGCTTCAATGATCAGATCTTCCAACTCCCTCAGATTCCTCATATCCAGGTCCTTCAGCAACACAGAATAGGGAATGCACTAAAAACAGCAAGTCCAAGAATAAGTTAACAGTCCTAGAGCCAAAATGAACAGCTAAGTCTCAGAAGGCCAAGCCCCAAACGTTTATTGTATCCTACATTCTAGCCTGCAAGTACAGCAGTGAGGGAGCGTAGCAGAACAAACGTCTGCTACTAGGCTATGTAGTATTCTGACATAACTTTGGTAATCCCTGAAGCTTTGACATAGCATGTTCCGGTGGAAAAAAGGTAATGGGATTGTAGGATAGATTAAGAGAGTTGATTAGTTTTCTCCAGAACAAGAAGTCTCTGTTTTTAAGAATGATTCTCCATCTCCAGCAGTGAAAGAAGCCATACGAAGTTTCCCAGCCCTTACTGACCAATTTGCATGGCAGTTCAGATATCCCAACATCTCATCCACAGAAGTTCACTAAGTTAATATTCCAAATGCACCATGAGAGAATACTGAGAGGATTTTTTGTGAGTACTCATGCAGTCCAATACAATTCCAATGCCATGAAATTGGTGCCAGTTTCAAACACAAACAAAAAGACAACTGCTATCATACACAGTGTACTTTACCTTCATTCTGGAAGCCAGGCTTACAATCGTCAAGTGTTTCAGCTTGTTTTTCTGAGTTGCTGTTAATTCAGGCAAGTTATCTTTGTTTGCTGTTAATGTTAAAAAGACAAGATTCAGGACTTTCTTTCAAGAATTATATAATCCAGGCTGCAGAACTTCAGGCTAGCTACGCTACACTAAACCGTGAAAGGCTGAACTCCTTCAGCTACTGTGGGTGCTGGTGAGCAGAGAGAGCTGCTGCTGCTGACAGATTAGCACACCCAGGGAGAGAAACTTAACTTTTCCTGAAAAGTTAAAAAACAAGTTGCAATTCACTTCTTCTTGGCTTCTTTAGTAATTCTGGTTTTGGAATTAGAACATAATTCACATCTACACAAGTGGTGTCCTGCCAAAACAGTTGGTCAATTCTTTAGTGCATTAACAAGCTGACAGAATAAAGTCTTCTCCCTTTGCTGATCTGGTTGTAAATACCGCTGGTATTATTCCTCTGAAGAGTTGTAGAATTTGGGCTTGAAAGTGTAAAGTATCAGGCTGAGGAAGAGAGGAGAAATTATTAATCTAGATACTTACATGGCCTCACTGTCATTGTATTATATTCATGTGCCTCATGAATATTTAAAAACAGAAAGGAAACGGGCAGCTTTCCAAAGCAAAGAAACTCTTTAAAATACCTGCTTTAATAGAAATTAGTGTTTCAGAGCCACTCAAGTTCTCCCATCCATCCCCCCTCATTCAATGTTCTACATTTTGACTACTTTTCCCCCTTCTCTTTCTTCATGAGAAAAGGAAGAACAAACTGCACTGTCACATGCTGGGACACAAGACCCATGCACAGCAAACACATCATCTAATCGGTCACATTAATTCATGAGGCTTGTGTTGCTCCACAGCCACTGGAATTTCAAGTCCTTGCACTTACGATGCCACTTCTCCTTACAGGAACTAGAGAGCTCATCCTCCACAGTGATAGCCAGCACTATGACAGAATTATCTGTCACGCTCTGTAATGGTCTGGATTACGCTGCTACCCACAAATGAAGTATTAAATTGTAGCAGAATAGAAGCATAAGCACCAGAGATAAAAGCACATCCTGACAGATACTAAGATGATTCACACATAGTCCTTCTGAAGCTCTACAGAAGTCATTATTTCAATTTCTATTCTTGCTAAGAAATGCTTCATTTTGTTTCAGCAATGCCATCACAGAATAAAAGGTTATCCCATAAACCATATAGGGTTTTATAAATAATACAGAAGAATTTTGTCTTAAGTTTTCTGCAGCTTCTATAACCAGTGTCATCTAAATTTCAAAACAGGCGTCTGAAATTGCACTCCACAGAGGTAAGAGGTCTGTGAATGTCAGTGAATACTGCTATAGACCAATTCAATCCAATGCTTCAGTCCAATCCAAACCAGTAAAACACCATAGTCTCTAGCCCTTCCTTCACATTTTAGCAATTAAAAAGCACATACGATGCAGAGACCCACTACAAACAATTCTCTTCCAAGCAAATTCTGTTCTTGGACACTTTCACCCAGCCACACTACATCAGGTACCACAGAAAGCAAAGAAGTGCCTCTGGCAATTCTAAAGGGCAACCCAGTCTCGTACTCTGCAAACAGGTGGCAGTCTCTTACCTACATAGTCCGGGTACGTCCCGTACGCAAACAGGTTCAGCAACTGGAAATAAGCAGCATTAGACCCTTCAGCAAGCTGGATGGAAAGAAAACAAAACAAATTCCATGTAAGACGGCAACAGCCAATACGACACTGGTAGGCAACTTCTCCAGAGCATGTTTTAAATCTACACAGGACAAGTAGTAACCAGAAAAGCAATTATGACCAGATCTTAAAGAGCTGGACCCTCTCTAAGGCCTCATGAGCAGCAACGAATTTCAGCAGTTTCAGAATCAAAATGATCCAGCCATTTCTACGCACCAGAACTTAACTACAGTTTGGACTGTCAACTGCTTTTTGCAGCACTTTAGGAGGTAAAAGAAAAAGACGACTCAATTTTTAGCTGTCAACCTACAGGGGCCAGCTCTTCTTCTCATGTGACAAGCAAGCAGGCAATGGCGCTGGTTGGTTAAGTATCCTTGCTGTTACTGGGAAAGCTATGACAGCTTACCTGCAGAACCACAAAAACTTCAAAGCAAAGCAAGCGGGAACATTTTAAGTTGCACACATTTGAAAGTAATAGCACGCTCCTCACATGCAAACACTTCACTGGAATAACTGCAGCACCAAGCAGTGATTTTTGAGTGTTTTTTTTAATACCTGTTGCTGCACACAGATCCAGGAAGAAAACATACTTGCAATTTCATGCTGAATAAACACAGAGGCATTTTTCCGTATATCTAATAGCCCATCTGGAAAGCCAAACTTGCTGTACGCCACATTACCCCGTCTGCAGAGATACTCAATCTAGATTCCCTCACTGTAGTAGACAGGGGTGCTGGTAAGCCATTCTCAGCAAAAGCTCTGCAACTTACTTTCCACCTTGGTTTGAAATGTTTTGGATTTGATTACCACCCAGACCTGATACACTACACATTTGTTCACAAAGACTTTTGCAGAGCATTGACGTTACGCTTTCCAGGATAATGAAGGAGTAGAAAGGGACTTTTTCATTCTTGGCTGGCTAGGTGCCTTCTTAAAATTATTACTGTGCTGCTGCTAGGTTTCTGCTGCATTAGCAATCGCATTAAGGTAGCAAAGCTTTATATAAGTATTTTTTAACATCTAATATATACAGGCAAAAGCAACATCACTATCTCATACACAAACATCTCAGAACCAAAATAAGTCACACCAGGCCCCTCCTGGCACAGAAATTTCACACACAGGCTGCCTGTGGAAACTCCTGGGCATCCCTTATACTGGGAGTGCAGAAGGGGCATTAGGATAGAAACTCATCTCTTACCTCTTGCACATTTGTTAACTCCAATAGCTCTCCGAAGACATAAACCCCAGGAGCCTCCAATACTTGATTTATGAGAGCAGTCAGAGCGGAGCCACTTGTACCTTTGGCTAGTAAAATAAACTGCTCTAGAAGATTGCAGGACGGTTTCTGTTCTCCTGCCATTCTAGGTTTTCAATCTGTCAATAAAAGAACATGATATTAATACATCCTATCTCCCCTGCTGAATTCTGTCTGGCAGTGGATCAGAAGGTACGCTCAACATAGTAACGTTTTGGTGTCAGCAGAGCCAGGTTTTTCTTCAGCACTCAGAGGGCAGGCCAGGAACCCAGCAGGTTCAACTGCTGATTTATCTGGGGAGCAAAAATGATTCACACAGTATCTAAGAAAAATTTCTGCAGACTGTCTGGTCAGTTCCCTAAAAGGATCTACTCCTGCTAGCAGGAAAGGAGTTTAGATTCCATGCTGTTTTCAGACTTTTCCTTCTACCAATGCTGCCAAATAATGCCAACTGCAAAGATGTTTATTATTACATCTATTAGAGGCCAGCTAAGATTTCCTCCTTTCTCATTACACAGCCTCAAAACAGCAACTAACTTAATTCTCTGTGAAGAACTGATCCAGCTTGTAGGCCCGCAAATCGTACCTTTTCCCTTAGACATCAGCTATAGATAAAGCACGCATACATAATTCCTATTGCTTTTGGAGCCTAAAAGGCAAGAACTGTGGCCTGTAAGTAGCTTACCAGTCTATATTGTACAGTTACAGTGTTTTGGGTTAACTGGAAAGCTGAAGTGATAAAAATACCCTTTCTACAAAGGCTCTATTTAGGTCCCCATAAAGAGAGGTCTTTGTCTTCAGCCGTTGCCTGACATTTCTGGTGTGCATGTTGTCTCCCAGCACCAACATGTTGCTTTTGAAATATAAAACACTATTTATTAACAAGTTCAACAAAATAAGTTATTTGTTTACAAACAACTAAGAAAAAACTTCCGAAGCATATTATTCAGGCACCAAACAAAGAACGTAGCAGATAAAAGGGGGTTTTGTGTTATGTTTGTATCAGATAAGTCTGAAGTATAGCATATAATCTTTACTCTGGCAAAGAAAACCTGACACCAGAAAACCTGTAACATCCTGTGTGACCACTGGGACCACATCTGCCCTTGTGGGGGTGGTACAGTCACACAGGTGTTTGCACTGTTTTGCCATGCCTAACCAAATTAAGACTTGTGAAGGCAACAGAGCTAGCTTCCTTTATTAGTCAAACTCTATAAATACACTTCACTCCGTTCCATTACACCTGCAGGTACAAACGGTCTCAATCTGAGCGGGCAGTCTTTTGCACTCTCCACACAAAGATTTCTCAGTGTAAAGTCTGTTTGGGATTCTTTTCATCAAAGGCATGCGTGCAGCCTGACTGAATAGTACCTCAGTTTTGACTGAGAAATCTCTGCAATACAATAACTCTCAACGTGGCCTCCTAATACACCTAAGAGTACATCAGTACTAATCTCCCTGCTCACAGATAAGGAACAGACACAGAGGACAGCCAATTTTCTCAGGAGAGCGAATGAAGTGACTGAGCTGGGAACGAAATCCAGATTTCACAGTTCCCAAGCCATTGTCTTCCCTCACAGGTAATGAAAACACACATGTGCATGAGGTTACAAAAGACTGACGGGCTTTATCCATGCTCTACTAAGAAACGAAAGCCAATTCTTTGTCCCTTTCTAAGTTTACATTCAGACAACTGTGCTGCTGTTGCAGCCTGTCTGCACACCCGTGTCACCGGGACTGCCTCGCTGCTCTCTCCACAGCCGACTGTCCCTGCTGAGAAGTGACTGAAACACAAATGGGAGACACTTGAACGGAGTTTTCCCAAAGGCTACAACAACCCATACACGGGGATAACCCGGGCTTCTCCCCCCGGCCATGCCTCCCTGCAGCCTACGGCCCCTCAAGGGGTTTCATGACAGGAAGGGACAGGCAGACCCCACAGCGGGGAGGCGGCCCGCCCCCCCCCGGCCCTCCCGTCTCCACAGAGCCCCACCAGGCCCTCGGATTCCCCCCGGGCCGGCAGTCGTGCCCCACCGGGCGGCCGAGCCCCGCCG